TTTTAAAATATTCCCTTATCATTGGTGTACTAGGTCATCTTGTAGTCACTTGAATGTATTTAGCAGCATTCTCCAGAACTGAGCATAATGCAGGATCACGGAGCCGTGACACCTTATGTCGTCAGAATGGTTACAGAAGATCGATGCGTTGAGAACTCCACGGAAACTCAATCACTGCGGCACACACCATCTTGTCTTGGGCCGGCATGCAGCAGACAATAAATAGATTACTGCAAAACCGGCACTTTTTCAGGGCAGGGTCTCAGTAACTTTGGGAAAGAACTTTGGTTTTCTTTGGTTTTATTTATTTATTTTTAATAATTACTTTTTTTTTTTCCTCTGGGGATATGCTTGAAAAGTTGTCCTTTCCAAAAAAGCAAAATAAGCACCTGTGTGTCATCAACAACAAGAAGTCAATTTAAATAGAGCAGTTCATTTTGTTTTTCAAGTCACAATAAATCCCTAACAGCTTTTCCCCAGCGTTTGCCATCTAGTCTTTTATTAATTTTTTTTATTTTTATTTTTTTTTAAACACAATGTACAAAAATAGAGCTTCTTCCTTATTTTTAATGTAAAAATATTCCTCTGGTGCAGTTTTTTTTTTTTGTGGTTTATTATTGTGACACTGTTTTTGTCTATTTTTAACTGGGGTTGGTGGGTCGTATTCTCTTAGTCCTCTTGGTGACTGTTGTGTACTTGAAAGGTTTCTGTATCTCCACTTGCCCCTTTGGGTACCTCTTCATAAAATGTACATCTTGCTGGTTTTCCCGGGTCTTGGGCCCTTTCCGTGGCCTCCCTTTTTTGGTGAATCCAACATACCAGCCTGAATATTTTGCTGACATCAGTGCCGTATAGTTGTTTTCTAGGACTTTTTCGATGAAGACACACTCCTTGCTGGTGCCATCAGGCTGAAAAAGGAGAAAAAAAAGTAAAAAAATTCATTATCCAAATGCAAGCTCAATGACCAAACCCCATTTTGGCATAAATAAAATCATCACATCTGGACCTTGTTTTTGGTTCAAACATTGTTAATAGGAGCTGTAACAAACTTCAGCTGAAATAGAAATTAATTAAAAAAAAGCACGAAAGCATCATTTCATCATTTCATTTTTTTTAAACATTCCTATCCAAGGAGAGAAAGATTTTTCAAAGACAACAGTTAAGTTCATCCAGTCCAGCTCCTTCAATTGCAAGCAAAGCAAGACATTTAGCTTTGCTTTTTCCATTAGGAAAGGAGGATGAATTGAACTTGTGCCAGGGAAACATCATACTTAATCAGAAAAAATAGAAAAAATCAGAATCTCATATGGGCCAAACAACAGCATTGCCACTTCTACCACTCACTTTTGCTATGTTTTCCGAAATACCTTATGGGCTTGCATGCGTAACTACCCAAATCCCACTAAAATCATTACAAGCCTTAGTCTAAGCCTTCCCAGTGCTTTGAAAGCTCTCCCCTGCAGCATCCTGGGCGTGACACCTGGCAAATAAACTGCGCACGGAGCTCCGGGGATGAGCTGGAGGGGTGCCGCAGTCGCCAAGGTCCCCGACCCCACTCCAGTCCCTACATCCAAATGGTTATTCCAGAGCCACATTGCACACCCCAGGCTTGGCTCCAACTTGCATCCCTGAGCGACATCAGCAGCAGAAAAGGCCGTTCCCAAGCCAGAGCAGCTCCCTGGATGGGCTGGCATCCCACTGGCATCCTGATGAGACTGCAGCTGGAGGACTATGCAGCAGCACTGTCTTCAGCCACGAGACCCACCCCAGCTCCACTACCAGAGGGGGTGACACAAGTGCCCGATTTTACACCTCTGCTCTCTCAGGGTTGTTTTTTGTTTGGAAGAGGGTTTTGTTTCTGGTGGCAGAGAGGACATGGTCCTTCCCCTTTCCCCACCTTTCAATCACAGCCTAAAAGCAGCCACCCAGAGCTCAAGTACTTGCCTTAGGAAACCATGTTCCTAAACAACATTCTTCCTTGCAGAAGGAACCAGGATTAGATGCAGAACTGGAGGTCAGAAGTTCCTGAGCATGAGTGCTGCTCCCCAGCCACCCTGCAGCAAAACGCCCGATGCGGCCTGGTGCAAACCCACCTCCCCATCACTGCCACGGGCTGCTAGCTCCCCAACCACTCTCTGGTTCAAGATTTTGGCAAGCAGGGTGTATTCAGTTTGTGTGGCAAGGTTTTGGTAACGGGGGCTACAGGGGTGGCTTCTGTGAGAAGCTCCTAGAAGCTTCCCCTGTGTCTCATAGAGCCAATGCCAGCCGGCTCAAAGACGGACCTACTGCTGGCCAAGGCCAAGCCCATCAGCGATGGTGGCAGTGCCTCTGGGATAACATAGTTAAGAAGGGGAAAAGCTGCTGCACAACTGCAGCCGGAGAGAGGAATGAGAGTGAGAATATGTGAGAGGAACAACTCTGCAGACAGCAAGGTCAGTGAAGAAGGAGGGGAGGAGGTGCTCCAGGCACCGGAGCAGAGATTCCCCTGCAGCCCCTGGTGCAGCCCATGGTGAGGCAGCTGTGCCCCTGCAGCCATGGAGGTGAGCGGTGGAGCAGATACCCACCTGCAGCCCGGGGAGGACCCCATGCCAGAGCAGGTGGATGTGCCCAAAGGAGGCTGTGACCCCATGGGAAGCTCACACTGGAGCAGGTTTGCTGGCAGGACTTGTGACCCCACGGGGGACCCACGCTGGAGCAGTTTGTGAAGAACTGCAGCCTGTGGGAAGGACTCACATGGGAGAAGTTTCTGGAGGACTGTTTGCTGTGGGAAGAACCCCATGATGGAGCAGAGGAAGAGTGTGAGGAGTCCTCCCCCTGAGGAGGAAGGAGCAGCAGAGACAGTGTGTGATGGACTGACCCCAACCCCCATTCCCTGTCCCCCTGCGCCACTCGGGGGGAGGAGGTAGAGAAAATCAGGAGTGCAGTTGAGCCTGGGAAGAAGGGAGGGGTGGTAGGAAGGTGTTTCAAGATTTTGGTTTTATTTCTCATTACCCTACTCTGATCTGATTGGTAATGAATTAAACTGATTTCCTCAAGTTGAGTCTGTTTTGCCTGTGATGGTAATAGGCGAGTGATCTCCCCCTGTCCTCATCTCATCCCACAAGCTTTTCATTGTATTTTCTCTCCCCTGTCCAGCTGAGGAGGTGCATGATAGAGCGGCTTGGTGGGCACCTGGCATCCAGCAAGGGTTATCCCACCACACAGCGTTGGCTCAACTTGGAGATCCAGACTAACAGACCCAGAACTGGACTTTGAACACAGCAGCATGTGGATCACAGGCTGGATTCGGGACTCTAATTCACACAGCACACACAGCACATGCAGCACCGGAGGGAGTTGCAGCATCACACAAGAGCATCTTTAAGTGGTTTGGCACAGAGGAAATTCTTCTCATCTATAATCTTGTGCCAGAAAGTACGTTTTGTCCTTTAACTGCTGAGTTACTGGTGCTGCACCTAGAACATCATGAATCGTTGTGTACACTGGCACTTTGTTTTACGTGTCAAAAGATATTAGGGAGTAGATACAGGCTCACTTCAGCCCTGGATGTTGTCTCAGCTCTGGGTGTTTTATGGATTCCGGACAGGGATAAGCACAGTATGGAGCATCATACAGGACTTAATCTAATGCTCTGCAAAGCCAAAGGAAGGATTTCCATCATATTATTAGCCCAATCCAATTCCCCACTGAAGTCAAACAATGAGTTTTTCAGTACCGCAGGCCTACGCCTACTGCTATGCTTACTATTAAACTCTCTCCATGCAAACTAAACGGTATCAGACCCTCTCAGTCTTTAGCCATTTCACCCATCCCATCCCTGGGGGCAGGAAAGCCACAGCAGCATGACCAGCACAGCACCGGCAGAGACGGTCGGGCCCAGGCTGCAGCGGCTCTGCTCAGGAGCTTTCTCGGCACAACAGCTGGGGCAAGGAGCCCAGCCCCACACACTTACCACCCCATCCCCAAGGCCAGGTCAGCCTGCTCTTTCCTAGAAGCCTTCCTAAAAAGTCCTGCACAATCACAGCAGAGTTTGGTGCAGTTAGTGGGAACGGCAGGGATTGCGGGACAGGAGGGAAGCCTTCCGGGCTGAGCTGGCTTAGGCTTCCCTGCACCTCTGATCCCCAAATAACCACGTACAAGCTACAAATGGAGCTGCGAGATAGGAACCATCAGGCACGACAACCCAAGCTGGAGTCACATAGGCAACAACAGGGGAAAGGCTTCATCATCACCAGCCTCCAGGACCAGCCATCCCTCGCTGGCTTAATACTTTTAGCAGAGCTTCAATTCAATCAGTGCAACAATACGTGATGTTTACCCTAAAATCATTAATGTGCCATCCTGCCTAAAGGGTTTCATTACCACAGGTAGGTCCCATTAAGAGTGCGGGGAGATCATGGCAACTTCTGCATCAAACATGCTAATCCAGGGTCCGTGTTCCCTATACATGCCCCCTATATGGGGACAAAGCCAGCCCTGCCATAGGACCAGCAATCTCCATACTAGGCAAGGCACAAAGGTCCTAATTTTGTCATCTACAGTTGGAAGCTCACAAATGCTTTAATGAATGGCAGAACTGGGCAAAGCTCAGTGGTTCCAGTTCCCGGGGGGGTTGTTCTCTGAGCCCTGGGTTTGATCAAAGCCGCATGAGCGGGGAAGGGGGAAATCAGTCAACACCACAGGGTTCCACCAGGTTTCAATGGGAAGCCATAAAACCAGCCCCAGGTTTCTCAGGGCACAGCCCACTACAAACCCTTCCCCAGTGAATGGAGAATTTTTAAACAATACCATGGCTGAGTTTCAAATCCACCCGAACCCAGGTGCTGATGAACCGACTGGATCCATACCACAGGGGGAGCAGGTAATTGGAAGAGCCATTTCCCCCACGCCTGGGTCCTGGATTTGAGCCCTGACCTTGTTGCTAGGAGAATTAAGGCATTTTCATGCAATTTGGGAGATTTCCGCCTGTACTGCAATGTCAGTTTCTCATGGAAAATGAAGACTGGAATGAAAAGAAAACGTGTGTGTAGGAGGGGGAAGTTATTCTATTAATAACAAAAAGTATTTACTTATACCTTCAAATTTGCCAACAGAACCTAAGACGGAGACAGGAGGTGGAGGAATAACAAGGTGCAACTTCAGGCCAACCTCAAGGCTAATTTGAAGTAAACAACGTGCATGAGATAAAATAACTTTGTTCTGGAAGAGGAAGAGCTAAATTATTTGATAACATGAAATTACAGTAACATCTACAAGTACCTGGAGATAAAGCAGGATAAGAACCTCACTTCCCCAAACAGAGCATTCCTGTACGTGCTAAGACATATCAGACAAATGATTTTCAGATACTTACAAGATGATTTTACAGCATCTGTTATGATCCCCAACAGAATAAATCACTTGCACACATTACCTATACCTTGGAGAGCTGGACCCATGGTAATCTATTAGGGGGAAAAGCAATTTATAAGGGTTTTCAATAATTTTTAAGTGTCACCTTGTTTTCACCAGGTGCCATCACTTAAGGTCTAACCATGTCCGTATTTAAACAACAGCAAAACACTCATTGGGTGTCTCACCCATCCCCTCACTCCTCCAAAGAGAGGAGGATGGAAGAGAAAAGGGACATGGCTTCGGCCAAGCATCAGTGCCTGCTCCAACCGCCTGCTTGCCCTTCCCCAGGAGCTCCTAGTGCAAATGCTTGTTGCCAATACAGGTCTGCACCCTCTGCTGCTGACATCAGCAGGAGATGCTGCCAAGCTGCATTTCATACATACTTAGCTGTCAGGATGCACCTTGCAGAGCACTTGCCCTTCAAAACATGGAGGTTTATGTTTTGAACTGATTCTTTAAAACAGAGTTCTCGAAAGCCTTGGAGCTGTGCAGAAACTGCCAGGCCTGGTGTGAT